TATCAATATAGAAAGACTTTTTAAGCTCGTATTTACTCTTTCCACAATTACCCAACCAGAAAATCATTGAGGAAGGTAACCCTCGTCTTTCTTCCTTATCTTGTCACCCGGTTTTCAATGATTGAACTTTTTTGCATATCAAGTGTTGTCATCGAAACTATCCTAAGTAAAAAATATATACATCAATTAAATCTCCCAAAATAGAAAAATAGAAAATCTGAAATTAATTACTTAGGGGAATACTAAAAATACTTTGTGATGATATAAAGAGTTCAGAGGCATCTAAGAAAATTAATGAAGTATTTCTGAATAGAATTCCTAGTTGGATTTACAAATCTTTATAGTATTCCTTGATTACAGGACGCATTTTTTTGCAGGTATGCATTACCAAACGACAAACACTGCTTCTACAGAGCATGATGACTGAAGCATTGTGTTCTTCACAAAGGTCTTTCTAGATCAATATTATGTTATTACCCACATAGTTAGTTTGTAAATCTTCCTTTAAGCTCGATATGTTATTACCCACCTAGTTAGTTGTATTATGCCCAAAAAGTGAAACTGTAGTTCAAAAACAGTTTAGAAAAAGAAATGTTATTGTTTTGAAAAAGTAAATGAAAGAAGCATTGTGTTCTTCAGTCTTCACAAAGTCATCCACAAAGTCATCCATATCATCCATAAGAAAAAAAAAATTATGATTTAAAGGCAATAGCTGAACCACAACACATACGCCTAAACCTGTACGAATCGACGCACAAATGCACAATAGCCGAACTAAATTTCATAACAAAACTCTTTTATCATATCTAATTCGTAAAAAATACAGATATAAATGCAACATGCAAGATTTTACTGTCGAAACCCTACAAAGCTAGTTTTCACTCAAGAAATCTAGATAAATCTAAAAGAAATTTAAGAAAATTTAAGATAAAAGGCGAACTCGAAGTTAAATATTAAATAATAGAGAAAAGATACTCAAAGATAACACCTAGATAGCCAAACTAGTAACCAATGAACCAAGCAAGACTATTGAGCAACAAAAGCAAGATTATCGAACAACCAAGCAAGAATACCGAGCAATCGAGCCAAAACCAACTATCCGAGGAGAATAGAAGTAGATATTAGCAGAAGAACACAGACGACAAACCCTAAACCTTCGCGACCGAAAGGGTTTTGAGAGATCGGAGAAACGAGAGAGGCAGCTGAACCTTAGAAGACGAGAAGTTTCGAGAGGCGAATGGGGTCAGTTAGGGTTTTTTAGTTGTATTTAGGCAACCGAACAGAAGCCGAACCGTGAGAAGTTTCGAAGTTGGTTGGTTAGGGTTTTTTCGAGAGGTGAATGGGGCATTTTATATTATATTATTATATAAATATATAATATTTATATAAGTAATATTAGTATATTATTATAAATAGTTTGTTATATATGTTAATAGGTTTTAATTTTATAAAATATGCTAATTTAATTTTTTAAAAATTTTAATTAATTATAATTTACAATTATTAATTTTATGAATATTTATTATATACATACATATATATATATATATATATATAATTTTATTTTTTTTTAAATTTTTTAATTTATTTATTTTTATTTTGAGTGAAGAATTTTTAGGGAAAATTTTCTTTTATAAACATTTTATTAAAAAACTTTCTTTATCCTTGGACCCAGTTAGAAGAAAATCATTGCATTGGTGCTTCTAAGAGCAATGCTTTGCTTCATAAACATCACATCACGAAGTATTTCTTCAAATAACGTCCATTTATTCGTAGCATCGATCTTTCCCCTTGAATGTCCACCAATTGGTAGGATCCTCCGGAGTAAACTCTTTCAACCATGGATAGTTCGTTGTTCGCGAACAACGAGCCAAATTTAAGGGCCTCAGTGATTCGTTGCCCTTTGTGTGTGCATTAAAGTATACGCAATGTTGAAAACCAAAATCAAACTTAAACAATTAGGCTCTCTGCATATGGTGTTCAGCCATAATGCCCATGGTGGACTGACTTTATTATTTGAGTTGCAAGGCCTACAATAGGCATGTTGAAAGCTTAAGATCATAAGCTTTGACTACAGGCAACTCAAAATTATAATAGTAAGAGCCCTAAACCTCAAGTTAATCTGATCCCAAATAGTAGGCTTAATTTAGAAATTTAAAATGACAAAAAACATTGAGCCACCTTACTTACAGGGTAAGGTCATATTACCCATCATTTCGCTTTTCACTTTATCTAGACTGTAAGACTTTCTTAAGAGCTTTCCAATGTAAATAAGACCAATCTTAAGTAATTTGGTACTTTCAATGAATGTAAGCCCTATCCATATTTGGATTGGCATAACAAATTTTGTCTTTAAATGGATGTCAGTCAGAACATAGATTAAACTTGGGCAAGCTCTTATGTAACAAGACTACTTTTCAAGATTGAATCCACCATCTAAAATTATATCAACCAAAAATCAACACGTTTCTTTGTCTTGCTTTGTCAAATCACGTTGAAGCCGAGAATAATTGAACATCATGTCGCTATGTCTCTTTGCTTCTATAAATCACTTAAATTTACTCTTAATCGTAAGTGTTCATATTTTATCTCTGAACCATTGAATGAAATTTGTGAGAACCACCCACTTTAAAGAATGAGTTCATCTTAGGGTGCGTTTGGGGCAGCTTGTGCGTTTCATGATAAACAGCTTATCCTGAAACATGGCCTGCCGGTCGACCGCAGGGTTCGACCCGCGACCTGCATTTAGTGTAAAACGGTTACCGTGTTTTTGGATAAGCGGGAAAAACGTACGATTCAAACGGTACCGCGACTATGGGCCCTTAATATTGGAAGTACATTTTTAACACATTTCACCCAGACTGCTCTGAATATTTAGAGGAGGCAATTCATAGTTGCTAATTAGAAGCTCTGTATTCTATGGTTTTTTCTACTCTTCACGGATTCTATGGTTTTTATTCCTTCGACTTTGCTAGATTTGGTATTGATTCCATACATTAATTCTTACTTTTTTGTGATTCGTAAATATTATTTAAACTCTTGTAATATTTTTATTTGATGACAAATTACTAATGTACTCTTATTTTGCATCTCTTTTGCATCTAATTTATTGCACCCTACATGGGAAACCCCTTAGCATTACATATTTTTTATAGATTTTGAATTATTTATAATTTTAAGGCATTATACCTACTTAGAAAGCTGCAGATCTATTTTTTCCTCCATTTTACTGCAGAAACTCTGATTATTCCCCAAGCATGAATTTTAATTACACCGGTTGAAAATTTTAAGTGTGCATTTTAAAGCAAATGACTTGAAAGCTAAAATTTAGGCTTACTCTTTGATTTCAAGAAAAATTGACAGTTACCCCGAACACTTGACATTGAAATCTATTTATTTTGAAGTTCATTTTTCACACACAACCTGTCTAATATTTGAAGCGTAAATATTCAAAAGGACATGAAAGTTATAATATGTTTCATGCTTTTCTAATTGGCAGATCTTCCAATTGTGCCAATTTTATATTATTAAGTCATGCAAATGTAAGTATTGGAAAAATTGGCCGTTATTTTTTGTCTATAGCTTTTGAGTATAGATTTTTTTGAAGGAATCAATAATTTTTTCCAATCATGACTACCTTCAATGATAGCTCGCACGAGATAATTTACTTGGACATCATCCGAACAAATTCTTGTTTGCACTTGGTAATTGTCGTGAGATTGTTTGGTAGCTATAATGAACTGATTTGGTGAAGCTGTTTTTCTCATAATGCGATTAGATTTTTATTTTGGGAGTTTGGCTAGTATAGTTTTTAGAAATAAACTCTAATATAGTCAACCATTATTTGATTGGTTATCAAATTAGTCCCAAAATATCTCATTTGTCTAATATAGGGTTTGTCTGGGGCAACTATAGTTTTTTGTGAAGATAGTTGTATAGCTGTTTTGGGAAAAAAAATATTTTTTTTGAAAGCTTTAGTGGGCATTATAAATATTTTCTTTTTTGAAAAATCCAGGTAGTAGTATTCTTAGATTTATCACACTTTAGCAGATGCAGTTGTAAAAAGTAGCTTTCCAGTACAATAATTGGCTTGAAAAGCAATAAAGCAGTAGTCAAGCGTATCTGTTGTGACGGTTTGAAAAGCAATACAATGGGAAAGCTACCCATAGTAAATCATTACCCATAGTAAATCAACAGTCCATATATACAAATTTGATCCCAAATGGTTATTCATGTAGAAACCGTGATGGAAAATTGATGCTAATTTAGTTCATTGGCTATATAATATTAATCTCAATTTAAGCATTGAGGGATCATTTTATATCAATTTTGTATTGTCAATTGACTAAGTTAGAAAAAAGTGATATTTTGGGACTAAATTGGCATCATTCAAATAGTTCGTTGGATCTTTTGTACAATTTTTCCCAAAGTTATTGTATTGGAGCTCAAGAATTTAGCATAACCATGGAATGGTTGCTTTTGGAATGACCTTTTTTGGTAGGCCAGGCAAAGGAATGCCTTTAGTTGTGAAATCTCTATTGGATTGCTAATCCAGAAAAGTTTGGCTGCTTTGAAATGAAATTCTCTAAAAAATTATTTATTATTGTTTGACCTTAAGAGAATTGACATTGCGTATCGGTTTGTTGCACTTGGTCGATCTTTTGAGAAAATAATTTCATTAGCTCTAATTATTAGATGTTCTTTTTTAAAGTGCTCTAATTTTCACATTCTATTAGATGAAGTGTTGCATAATGTACTGTGGATTGTAGATTTTTATTGGTTTGCTTAGATAAAGTTCTCTATATTACTTGTTATTCACTTCACTTTTTTTGAATTCTATTTGTTGTGGATCGTTAATTTATCAATTCTCTATGAATTGTGGTAATTTAATAATTAATGCCACGTTGGTCAGTAAAATTTAATCTATTTGTTTAATGCTGCACTAAAATCATAGTGCACTGCTTTCATGACATTCTTATATGTTTTCAAATATCTTGTAGGAAGATGAAGCAGTCCCCGAAGAGCAAGTTAATCCAAAAAGTGCGACTGCTTTACCTGTTTTGTGTGTTGAGGATGGATTGGTAATATTAAGATTCTCGGAGATTTTTGGAGTACATGAGCCCTTAAAAAGTGCAGTTAGGAGATACTGTCAGAAACGCCCATCTTGTAATGGTAAGTTAGTACTTTAGATTAACCACTATAATACAAGAAACGACATTGCCCATTTTTTTTCAAGGCTATGTTTTATTTTCCGTTAGCATGCTTGTTTTAAACTTATGCTATACGGATGGTTTCTTTAAGAGATCTGGCTACCAAAATAATTTTCGATGGAAATGCTTTGTCTCGTTTTTTGTTTTTTTCCTTTTTCTTTTTGTTGTTCCTACCAATATATACATCCTTTAAGGTATGGTTGTATTATTTGGCTGCTATTTGGGAGCTTATAATATATCATGTAACTTGTCGACAGCCACTCTCAACTGGTGTTTATGTGGCTATCACATTTTTGTATTTCTTGATATAGTTTAATTTTTAATTTATTTGTTATTTTTTCTTTTTAAAGTTTCTTCAGTTAAGTTTTTTAAATCTGTGTGATTCAGCACATTGAGGTAGGTTTTTGCCATATTTGTTGATCCAGTTATTAAAGACGCTTGAAGAAGTTTGATAAGCTTGATTTTATTTTTTCAGTTGAAGACGCCTGTGCCTTTCTTTGATGTTGCAAACCTTTCGCCTTCTTTACTATTTGATCGTAGAAAATTAATCGTTATGTTGCTAGTAGGCTGACTTCAATGTTTGAATTGCTTTCAGAACGGGATAAAACTTTAGATATTGCAAATATGGTTGAAGAAGATGAAGCTGCTTTTCTAAGGAGTGCTGATCATGATCCATGCATAGCTAAAAAACTGAATTTAGCTGTTCTTGGTTTGGAAGAAGAGAATGATCAAGAAATATCATTTTTTGATGTACAGAATAAAGACACGTGCTTTGGTTCACTTCCAATGAAGGATGATATGCCTGTGGATGCATCAGGTTCTCAGTGCTCTCTACCATCGCCAAAGTTTTATCCATTGGATCAGCAAGACTGGGAAGATGGAATTCTGTGGGGAAATTCACCTCAGTTGAGTTTTGATGTCTCAAGGGATGATTCATATTCAGAGCATGACACTGAAGATCAATCAGAAGAAAATTTAGATATTAGATATAGGAGTGATGCATTCAAATCTAATGAGAAAGATGGTGACTTCCCCATAGAATCTGCTGACAATGCATTTTTGACATATCAACATTCATTAGAACGCGAGTATCATCAGCAAGTACATGATTCGGAGTTATTTTCAAGAAGGCATAGTTCATATCCGGAAGAAATGGAAATTGAAGATGTGCATACTGAAGTTTCTGAAGGAACTACTTTACAACGCTTCGACAGGTTGTCCTTGAAGAATCAAGATTTGTTAAATGGTTCTTGGTTGGATCATATAATATGGGATTCAAAAGAGGCAATTTCAAGGCCGAAACTTATTCTTGATCTTCAAGATGAGCAAATGCTATTTGAGATTCTAGATTACAATGATGGCGAATATCTTTCTTCTCGCGCTCGTGCTATGGTAGTAGTTCACCCTTCCAAATCTAATTTAGGAGAGTCTTCTGATGTCCATAATCCGGGAATGCCATCCAACACTCGATTCAACATTTCTAATGATAAGTACTATTCCAGTAGAAAGACTTCCCAACAAGCGAAATCACATACCAAAAAGCGGGCCACTCATGGCATCAAAGGGTTGCATTCCGTGCCTGCTTTAAGACTTCAAACCATGAAGCCTAAGTTAAGCAAGTAAGTAGATGTTGTTGCAATGCTTTCACTTTATATAAAATGTTTCTATGCTAAAAATTCTTTATATAAAACGTCGACGACCACCGCCGACCTGTTTTAAGTTTTGATTGTTCTTGGAAGCAATATCCGTCCTGTTTTAAGTTTTGATTGTTCTTGGAAGCAATATGGAATCAAATATGTATTGTTGTATAATTATTTTATGTTTGATAATATTCTTTAAGTACGGGATATGCAAATATTTTTGATTTTGTAATATTTGCTTGTGTTGTAACTTGGACTTCATTTTATCACCATTGTTGCAGCCATACTTTCATTGAATACTTCTCATTGTTATTGATTTGGCTGACATTGTATGTCAATGCCAAATCCTAAAGCCTTCAGATACTTCACCACTTTGTTCAATCATGACTACCTTATTATTGCTTAATGCTGGCTGTAAAAAAATTTCAAAAATTTCCACAACAATTAAACTAATGCTTTCATACTTATGGTTGTACTTATGGCTGAGGATGGCTAGTTCTGCTTCCCCCATCTACAGCTGCCTTTAGAGAAGAGTTTATTTTTTGATTTGGGTAAAATTACGTAGCACAGACATGTTTGATAGATTTATTTCTATATTAAGTTTAAGCATACATTCATTTAATTATACATGTTATAATATTGATGCGTGCTAGAAAATTCACGGCGGTAGAGTACTGGATTATCATCTTAGAGTTGCACGAGGATTCAACACACACTCAGATGAAAGTGAAAAAACCAGTGATAACACAAGAAGTTTTTACGTGGAAAACCCGTAAAGTGAAAAAATCACGGGGCCTGGCCCAGTTATAAGAATCCACTATATGTTGATGACTACAGCGATCCCTTGTCCCACAGACGGGAAAGAGTTAAAAAATTCACAG